GGGGGGGGGGGGGGGGGGGGGGGGGGGGGGGGGGGGGGGGGGGGGGGGGGGGGGGGGGGGGGGGGGGGGGGGGGGGGGGGGGGGGGGGGGGGGGGGGGGGGGGGGGGGGGGGGGGGGGGGGGGGGGGGGGGGGGGGGGGGGGGGGGGGGGGGGGGGGGGGGGGGGGGGGGGGGGGGGGGGGGGGGGGGGGGGGGGGGGGGGGGGGGGGGGGGGGGGGGGGGGGGGGGGGGGGGGGGGGGGGGGGGGGGGGGGGGGGGGGGGGGGGGGGGGGGGGGGGGGGGGGGGGGGGGGGGGGGGGGGGGGGGGGGGGGGGGGGGGGGGGGGGGGGGGGGGGGGGGGGGGGGGGGGGGGGGGGGGGGGGGGGGGGGGGGGGGGGGGGGGGGGGGGGGGGGGGGGGGGGGGGGGGGGGGGGGGGGGGGGGGGGGGGGGGGGGGGGGGGGGGGGGGGGGGGGGGGGGGGGGGGGGGGGGGGGGGGGGGGGGGGGGGGGGGGGGGGGGGGGGGGGGGGGGGGGGGGGGGGGGGGGGGGGGGGGGGGGGGGGGGGGGGGGGGGGGGGGGGGGGGGGGGGGGGGGGGGGGGGGGGGGGGGGGGGGGGGGGGGGGGGGGGGGGGGGGGGGGGGGGGGGGGGGGGGGGGGGGGGGGGGGGGGGGGGGGGGGGGGGGGGGGGGGGGGGGGGGGGGGGGGGGGGGGGGGGGGGGGGGGGGGGGGGGGGGGGGGGGGGGGGGGGGGGGGGGGGGGGGGGGGGGGGGGGGGGGGGGGGGGGGGGGGGGGGGGGGGGGGGGGGGGGGGGGGGGGGGGGGGGGGGGGGGGGGGGGGGGGGGGGGGGGGGGGGGGGGGGGGGGGGGGGGGGGGGGGGGGGGGGGGGGGGGGGGGGGGGGGGGGGGGGGGGGGGGGGGGGGGGGGGGGGGGGGGGGGGGGGGGGGGGGGGGGGGGGGGGGGGGGGGGGGGGGGGGGGGGGGGGGGGGGGGGGGGGGGGGGGGGGGGGGGGGGGGGGGGGGGGGGGGGGGGGGGGGGGGGGGGGGGGGGGGGGGGGGGGGGGGGGGGGGGGGGGGGGGGGGGGGGGGGGGGGGGGGGGGGGGGGGGGGGGGGGGGGGGGGGGGGGGGGGGGGGGGGGGGGGGGGGGGGGGGGGGGGGGGGGGGGGGGGGGGGGGGGGGGGGGGGGGGGGGGGGGGGGGGGGGGGGGGGGGGGGGGGGGGGGGGGGGGGGGGGGGGGGGGGGGGGGGGGGGGGGGGGGGGGGGGGGGGGGGGGGGGGGGGGGGGGGGGGGGGGGGGGGGGGGGGGGGGGGGGGGGGGGGGGGGGGGGGGGGGGGGGGGGGGGGTTTTGGGGGGGGGGGGGGGGGGGGGGGGGGGGGGGGGGGGGGGGGGGGGGGGGGGGGGGGGGGGGTTTTTTTTTTTTTTTTTTTTTTTTTGGGGGGGGGGGTTTTTTTTTTTTTTTTTTTTTTTTTTTGGGGGTTTTTTTTTTTTTTTTTTTTGGGGGGGGGGGGGTTTTTTTTTTTTTTTTTTTTTTTTTTTTTTTTTTTTTTTTTTTTTTTTTTTTTTTTTTTTTTTTTTTTTTTTTTTTTTTTTTTTTTTTTTTTTTTTTTTTTTTTTTTTTTTTTTTTTTTTTTTTTTTTTTTTTTTTTTTTTTTTTTTTTTTTTTTTTTTTTTTTTTTTTTTTTTTTTTTTTTTTTTTTTTTTTTTTTTTTTTTTTTTTTTTTTTTTTTTTTTTTTTTTTTTTTTTTTTTTTTTTTTTTTTTTTTTTTTTTTTTTTTTTTTTTTTTTTTTTTTTTTTTTTTAGTTGGCATGGCCCGGGAGCAAGCCCACTGAAATCACGTGTCCTCTACCTGCCCCTGTCCTTTGGTGTTCCCTCACCAAGCGAAGTATCGCATGCTGTGGGCTCAGCCCCACTGTACAGTGAGGAAGAGCTAACAGAGGGCGGTCAGGAACGGGGGGAGACATCCGCCTCTTCAGCAGCCAGGCGAAGAAGTACTGGCGAGGAGAGTGGCTCGGTAGCCGGTCTAGAGACAGGTCTGTCTCCTGACCCACACGCAGCCGAGGGGGCTAGTAGTGAGGGCGGAGACCCTAATTGATGATGATGAGGCTGATCGCACTTGGCAGCCTCGTCGTCATCAGGCTATTGCTTCCGCATCATCAGGGAGAAGAGGGTGCCAGCTTGGCAGCGAGAGCAAAAACAGTCGGTGGGTTGCCCAGGAGGCAGCAGGGTCGCAGCAGTGTCAGTGGAGTGGGCAAACGGCCACGGGAGTAGAGCACCAGCTCCACTGCAGCCTACCACTCCACGGCCAGTAGTGGTGCGGTGTGCACGGAGGAAGTAGCAGTCAGCCAGTGAGGAGTAGCGGGGGCAAAGTTTCCTACTCGGCGGTGTGGCAATTTTTCGTCAAGCCGCCCGAGGAAGTAAACGTAGCCGTATGTCGACTATGTGGCCAGAAAGTCAAGCGTGGCCAGGGGGCCCATGTTGGGACTACAGCGTTGCGTCAGCATATGCAGCGTCGCCATTCGGTGGTGGCCTGGGAAAAACCGTGATAAAGATACGGCGGTTCTGCCTGCCCCAGCCCCCGCTCCATCACCCGCTCCGTTACTTGCTCCGTCACCCGACGTCAATCGCCCTCTATCAGCCAGTCAAGGCTCCAACACTCTGCTGAGGGGAGTTGTCGCTCGTTGGCATCTTCCGCTCGTTCAGATGCTCCTTCTCCTGCTACTCCTCTTCACGGATTCCGTCAGCAGTCTTTCTTGGAATCCGTTTCCAAGAGACAACAGTTTGCGAGCACGCACCCGACGGTGCAGAAGCTGAACGTCCTCCTGTCCAAGTTGCTGGTGCTGCAGTCCCTCCCTTTCCAAGTGGTGGACTCAGCACCTTTCCGAGAAATGATGGCTTGTGCCGCGCCGCGGTGGAGAGTGCCAAGCCGGCATTTCTTCGCCAAAAAGGCAGTGCCAGCCCTGCATTCACATGTAGAAGAGATGGTGGGCCAGTCTTTGAGCATGTCGGTCTCTGCCAAAGTGCACGGCAGCGCCGACGTGTGGAGCTGTAACTACGGTCAGGGACAGTACATGTCATTTACGGCCCACTGGGTGAACGTGGTGCCGGCACAGCCGCACCAGCAACTTGGACAGGTCACGCCGCTTTTGCCTCCACGTTTGCACGTCCTTGGTCCAGCAAAGATGTCCGCCTCTACCACCTCTTCTTCCGCCGTGTCCTCAGCCGCCACCCCCGTGCCAAGTCCCATTACCCGACCGGCATATCACATGTGCAGGGCGCAACGGTGTCACGCTGTGCTGCACCTGGTATGCCTTGGCGAACGTAGTCACACAGGGGAGGAACTTCTGAGTGTAATGAACAGAGAAATCGACAGATGGCTGTCTCCGCGCAAACTGAAAATCGGAACCATGTTGACCGACAACGGAAAGAACATGGTGTCTGCTCTGCGTCAAGGAAGGTTGTGCCATGCGCCATGCATGGCTCACGTGTTCAATCTGGTTGTCAAGCGGTTCCTAAAATCCACCATCCCACTGCAAGACATCCTTAAAATGTCACGTAAACTTTGCATGCATTTCAGCCATTCCTACACCGCAAAGCACACCCTCCTTGAGCTGCAGCGGCAGAACGGGAATTCCACAGCATCGCCTGATCTGCGACGTTGCAACAAGGTGGAATTCAACCCTACATATGTTAGACCGCCTTTACGAACAGCGAAAGGCCATCACCGATTTCCTGATGTTACAAGCGGATAAAGGTACTCCCCTGTGTAACTTAGATGTCAGCCATTGGCAGCTCATGCGTGACACCTGCCGCTTGCTCAGGCCCTTTGAGGAGGCCACGCTATTCGTGAGTCGGCAGGACTATGGGGATGAACGACGTCATTCCTCTGTTGCACGTCCTGGAACAAATGCTGTTAACAATGGCTGGTCAGGGGGTGCGGTAGACGTGGCGCACAGATCTCAACGCCACATGACCCCTGTGGGGGCAGGACAGGAAGAAGAGGAGGAGGTAGAGGAGGACATTGGTGCTCAGGAATTATTGAGTGAAATGGGTGGTTTTTCCACTCAGCGGACAGGAGTGGAGGAGCAGGAGCATCTGGTAGAGGAGGAGGAGGAGACAGAGGACCCAGACGCACCGTGGCAGTATGCTGTGGAGATGGAGGCAGGGAGTCCCTCGCATTCCTTGGCACAAATGGCCCATAGCATGCTCGGTTGCTTGCGTAGCGACAGCCGAATAATAACCATCAGAGAGGGATGACTTTTGGCTGTCCACCTTGTTGGACCCTCGCTACCGTTCAAAAATGGTGGCCTTTTTCACACCTGCTGAGAGGGAGGCCAAAATAACGTACTATAAAAAACCACCTATGTAGTCAGTTGGTCTCTGCCTTTCTGCGCCAACGTCCATCCTCAGACACTGTGGGCCCTGTGCGCTCGCGTTCCGCTGCCATGGCAGCAGGGGAGGGGGTGGGGTGGTAGGAGCAGTGGCAGCTCCACCAGCAGCGGCTGCCTCAGTCTGCAGTCGATGATGAGTAGCTTTCTTCACCAGCGCAGTGAGGAAACTACTAACCAGCCGCAGCAGCAGCAGCATCAGGTGGACCTGGAGCAGGACCTCAAACAACAGGCTTGGGCCTACTTGGACAGCACCCTGCCAACCGAGGTAGACAATCCCCTTGACTACTGGGCAACGAAACTTGACCTTTGGCCCCAACTAGCTGATTTTGCCCTTGAAAGGCTGTCATGCCCGGCCAGTAGCGTGGCATCGGAGCGCGTGTTTAGTGCGGCAGGAGGTATTGTAACTCCGCGGAGGACACGACTGTCCACCCAAAGTGTGGAGAGACTCACGTTTTGTGAAAATGAATCAGGCGTGGATTAGTCTGGATTTCAAACCACCAGTTCCTGACACAACTGACTAAATCCGCCATGAATCATGCCCCAAACATGTTACTTTTTTAACATAGGCCTCTGTATGGCCTTCAATTTAAGCTGCTTACGCTTCGCCACTCTGCCATGGGCCCCTGTACCGCCTCCTCTTGCTGCTGCCAGGTCCAGAGTGTGTCATGGGTCCCTGTACGGCCTCCCATTGCTGCTGTCTCCATCGCCACACTCTGCCATGTGCCACTTTCAGGTCTCCTCACACTGCTGGTGGGTTCCATTTTGTCATAGGGTGCTGGCAGATTACGGGCCTCCCATTGCTGCTGCCAGGCCCGTAATCTGCCATGGGCCCCCGTACCGATCCTCATGCTGCTGCCAGGCCCCGTAATCTGTCATGGGCCCCTGTACCGCCTCCTCATGCTGCTGCCAGGTCCAGAGTGTGTCATGGGTCCCTGTACGGCCTCCCATTGCTGTCTCCATCGCCACACTCTGCCATGTGCCACTTTCAGGTCTCCTCACACTGCTGGTGGGTTCCATTTTGTCATAGGGTGCTGGCAGATTACGGGCCTCCCATTGCTGCTGCCAGGCCCGTAATCTGCCATGGGCCCCTGTACCGCCTCCTCATGCTGCTGCCAGGTCCAGAGTGTCATGCTGCTGCCAGGTCAGAGTGTGTCATGGGTCCCTGTACGGCCTCCCATTGCTGCTGTCTCCATCGCCACACTCTGCCATGTGCCACTTTCAGGTCTCCTCACACTGCTGGTGGGGTTCCATTTTGTCATAGGGTGCTGGCAGATTACGGGCCTCCCATTGCTGCTGCTGCCAGGCCCGTAATCTGCCATGGGCCCCCCCCTCATGTACCGCCTCCTCATGCTGCTGCCAGGTCCAGAGTGTTCATGGGTCCCTGTACGGCCTCCCATTGCTGCTGTCTCCATCGCCACACTCTGCCATGTGCCACTTTCAGGTCTCCTCACACTGCTGGTGGGTTCCATTTTGTCATAGGGTGCTGGCAGATTACGGGCCTCCCATTGCTGCTGCCAGGCCCGTAATCTGCCATGGGCCCCTGTACCGCCTCCTCATGCTGCTGCCAGGTCCAGAGTGTGTCATGGGTCCCTGTACGGCCTCCCATTGCTGCTGTCTCCATCGCCACACTCTGCCATGTGCCACTTTCAGGTCTCCTCACACTGCTGGTGGGTTCCATTTTTGTCATAGGGTGCTGGCAGATTACGGGCCTCCCCATTGCTGCTGCCAGGCCCGTAATCTGCCATGGGCCCCTGTACCGCCTCCTCATGCTGCTGCCAGGTCCAGAGTGTGTCATGGGTCCCTGTACGGCCTCCCATTGCTGCTGTCTCCATCGCCACACTCTGCCATGTGCCACTTTCAGGTCTCCTCACACTGCTGGTGGGTTCCATTTTGTCATAGGGTGCTGGCAGATTACGGGCCTCCCATTGCTGCTGCCAGGCCCGTAATCTGTCATGGGCCCCTGTACCGCCTCCTCATGCTGCTGCCAGGTCCAGAGTGTGTCATGGGTCCCTGTACGGCCTCCCATTGCTGCTGTCTCCATCGCCACACTCTGCCATGTGCCACTTTCAGGTCTCCTCACACTGCTGCTGGGTTCCATTTTGTCATAGGGTGCTGGCAGATTTACGGGCCTCCCATTGCTGCTGCCAGGCCCGTAATCTGTCATGGGCCCCCCCCTCCTACATGCTGCTGGCCAGGCCCGTAATGTGTCATGGGCCCCTGTACGCCTCCTCATGCTGCTGCCAGGTCCAGAGTGTGTCATGGGTCCCTGTACGGCTCCATTGCTGCTGTCTCCATCGCCACACTCTGCCATGTGCCACTTTCAGGTCTCCTCACACTGCTGGTGGGTTCCATTTTGTCATAGGGTGCTGGCCTCCAGATTACGGGCCTCCCATTGCTGCTGCCAGGCCCGTAATCTGTCATGGGCCCCTGTACCGCCTCCTCATGCTGCTGCCAGGTCCAGAGTGTGTCATGGGTCCCTGTACGGCCTCCCATTGCTGCTGCTGTCTCCATCGCCACACTCTCTGCCATGTGCCACTTTCAGGTCTCCTCACACTGCTGGTGGGTTCCATTTTTTCATAGGGTGCTGTATGGCCTCCCATTGCTGCTGCCTCCACACCGCCACACTGTGGCTCCACACTCTGGTTTTGGCCCCGTGACTGCCCAAATGAGTGAAGTGTGCGGTGATTCTAAGATCGACGGCACTCATCTGCATGTCATACTGACTGACAGTATTATTTCTCTTCCCCAGCAGACTCCAAGGGCATTTAAATTAAAGGTACAGTGTTCTGCACTAATATAAAGGCTCTCTGAAGCCTAGAAACACCCTTTTTATATGTTAAATTCGCAGCGAATATATTCGACTCGAATCGAATTTATTCCGCGAATTCGCCGAATCAGCCGAATCAAATTTTTGAATAATTCGCTCATCTCTAACTTTAACCAAGGACTCCATGAGTCTATGGTCCAACAATATATAATCTAACCTCAAATACATCTCGTGTGCATGAGAGTAGAATGTATATTCCCGGTCTCTCACATATTTAATTCTCCAAGCATCCACTAGTTGACATTCATGCAGCATACTCTGTATAGATTTCAAGGGCTTATTCCCCACTCTCTGCACAAGCGATGTCATGCCAATCCGAGGGTCCATACAAAAATTGAAATCTCCTGCCACAATTAGTTTGCCTTTTTTAAAATCCAGGAGCTTTCTCAGGATATTTTTTAAATAAACCTCAGGTTTTCTATTAAGACAATAAATATTTGCTATTAAGACAATAAATATTTGCCAGTGTACATTCTATTTCCTATAGTTTCCCCTTTAAGAACAGGAAGCTCCCCTCAGGGTCTTCCATCTTTTGTTCCATCATAAACCTTACATTTTAAGCTATACCAATTGCCACTCCTTTAGCTCGCTTGGTTGGTGAATCTGCATAAAACCAGGTTGGATAATACTTGGAGAATAGCTACCATTTGTTTCCTGCAATAAGTGGGTTTCTTGTATAAACACCACAGCAATAAATCATTGTTGTAATTCTCTAAAGATCTTATACCTTTTCCCCGGTCTGTTTAACCCGTTAACGTTGTAGGTTGCAAAATTAACCTCCTGCATTTCTAATATACATTTTTTCACTTCCTCCCCAGGAGTCTTCCTTACTGGAGTACCACCATCTTTCTCACCGAACGTGGAGCTTACCCCTACCCATCCCACCCATCCAGCCCATGACCCCTCCCTAACCCTCCTTAGGCTTTTAATTTGCCTATGAATCATTTGTGGTCCTAGTCCCACCATAGATCTCACCATATGGTGGGGCTCTGACTATGCACACCTCTCCAGATCACTTCCCCCATGTCCCGCCTTTCGATGAAGAGGGAGAGAGAAAGAGAAAAACAAAATGCATAGACATACACATTAATGAAAAAAAATTAAAATAAAATTTTCCTCCAGGCATTTGCTACGGTGGCATGGTATTTCATGAAGGAAGTTCTTACTGCAATTGGCCTGGGTCATGATGTGCACTCCAGGATTTCTGCTCTTTACTCGGTGCCACAGGCCAGAGTACGAGTAAACAGTCTGTCAAACGCCTTCCCCATCACCAACTGAACACGACAGGGGTGCTCCCTCTCTCTGATTCTTTTCATTCTTACCCCCGAGCCCTTTCTGTGCAGTATCCACTCTAATCCTGATATTCAAGGTGTACGTATAACGGGCCACGAATATAAAAACGGTTGATAATGTACTCCTCTTCCATACGAACCCACAAACTATGCTTCCAAATCTATTACGTGACCTGAAGGTGTATGGAGATATTTCCAACTTTAAGGTGAATCTATCAAAATCTTTGTCTCTTTACCTTCGGACTTTGGTCTTCAAATGTAGGAAATCTTTATCTATGCATCTCATCAATTCGGCGAGGCACTGCATCCCTGTCTACTGGAGACAAAATACAGTCCCATCCATGACAGACTAGTTTCTGAGAGTAACTGGTGTGTATGAATTGGAGGAACTAATAGCTATTTCGAAAGAGAGTATGTCGAAATATTATGTGATCTGGGCTTGCTGGATGGACTCTATGACCACGGTGGAATATAAAAATGCATTGATGGGCCATTGAGGGCTGAGTGCGCATACTTACTTATCTTATTTATGGAGGACTATCAGGTTAGGAGACTCTGAGGTCTAATATATACAGTCTCCCACACATCTTTATAATACTTGTCAAAAATTCACCTCGTCTGAGGAAGTGCATGCAGAGACATATACTGTATGTATGTATGTGTATACAGTCAGGTCCATAAATATTGGGACATCAACACAATTCTAACATTTTTGGCTCTATACACCACCACAATGGATTTGAAATGAAACAAACATGATGTGCTTTAACTGCAGACTGTCAGCTTTAATTTGAGGGTATTTACATCCAAATCAGGTGAACGGTGTAGGAATTACAACAGTTTGCATATGTGCCTCCCACTTATTAAGGCACCAAAAGTAATGGGACAATTGGTTTCTCAGCTGTTCCATGGCCAGTGTGTGTGTTTTCCCTCATTATCCCAATTACAATGAGCAGATAAAAGGTCCAGAGTTCATTTCAAGTGTGCTATTTGCATTTGGAATCTGTTGCTGTCAACTCTCAAGATGAGATCCAAAGAGCTGTCACTATCAGAGAAGCAAGCCATCATTAGGCTGAAAAAAACAAAACAAACCCATCAGAGAGATAGCAAAAACATTAGGCATGGCCAAAAACAACTGTTTGGAACATTCTTAAAAAGAAGGAACGCACCGGTGAGCTCAGCAACACCAAAAGACCCGGAAGACCACGGAAAACAACTGTGGTGGATGACCGAAGAATTCTTTCCCTGGTGAAGAAAACACCCTTCACAACAGTTGGCCAGATCAAGAACACTCTCCAGGAGGTAGGTGTATGTGTGTCAAAGTCAACAATCAAAAGAAGACTTCACCAGAGTGAATACAGAGGGTTCACCAAAAGATGTAAACCATTGGTGAGCCTCAAAAACAGGAAGGCCAGATTAGAGTTTGCCAAACGACATCTAAAAAAGCCTTCAAAGTTCTGGAACAACATCCTATGGACAGATGAGACCAAGATCAACTTGTACCAGAGTGATGGGAAGAGAGAGTATGGAGAAGGAAAGGAACTGCTCATGATCCAAAGCATACCACCTCATCAGTGAAGCATGGTGGTGGTAGTGTCATGGCGTGGGCATGTATGGCTGCCAATGGAACTGGTTCTCTTGTATTTATTGATGATGTGACTGCTGACAAATGCAGCAGGATGAATTCTGAAGTGTTTCGGGAATATTATCGGCTCATATTCAGCCAAATGCTTCAGAACTCATTGGACGCCGCTTCACAGTGCAGATGGACAATGACCCAAAGCATACTGCAAAAGCAACCAAAGAGTTTTTTAAGGGAAAGAGGTGGAATGTTATGCAATGGCCAAGTCAATCACCTGACCTGAATCCGATTGAGCATGCATTTCACTTGCTGAAGACAAAACTGAAGGGAAAATGCCCCAAGAACAAGCAGGAACTGAAGACAGTTGCAGTAGAGGCCTGGCAGAGCATCACCAGGGATGAAACCCAGCGTCTGGGGATGTCTATGCGTTCCAGACTTCAGACTGTAATTGACTGCAAAGGATTTGCAACCAAGTATTAAAAAGTGAAAGTTTGATTTATGATTATTATTCTGTCCCATTACTTTTGGTTCCTTAATAAGTGGGAGGCACATATGCAAACTGTTGTAATTCCGACACTGTTCACCTGATTTGGATGTAAATACCCTCAAATTAAAGCTGACAATCTGCAGTTAAAGCACATCTTGTTCGTTTCATTTCAAATCCATTGTGGTGGTGTATAGAGCCAAAAATGTTAGAATTGTGTTGATGTCCCAATATTTATGGACCTGACTGTAGATATTTTTTATCCTTCTGACATGTTTGTGAAGAATTTCTCAATAATTTGTAATGCAGTTTTTTTCATTTTGAATGATATCTTAAGCAATGATTTATGCATTGCAAATTACATATGCATTGAAGGTACATACCAAAACAATGTTTCCAGATACAGGGTGTGTGCATACCCATTGGGTATGATCATTTGATTCTCTTAGTCTAAATATTTGTAAAGTTGAAATTGACTTACCATAAAAGGTAACCAATAACAGAAATGTAGCATCTTTATGAGCTGCCCATGAGCCTGGGATGCAGACAGCTGCCCATTCTTCCCATTTCATAATTCTCTACATCCATCTGGGCAATGGCACATGTAACAAATGTAACTACAATTTCTGTGCATCCCTTTCCCATTTCACCTCATACATTAAATAATTTTCAGAATACCTAACTTACATCTACTTTTCTTCCAGCTGGTCACACGATGAGTACTGTCCTACTTCTGCTTCAGTAATGACAGTGGTAATTCCGTAATTCTTTTTAAAACAGTGCTCACATTATAACATGTGAGTGCCCTTTCATACAGAAGCCTCTTGTGAGCCCAGGCTTCACACAGAGTGTATCTATAATGACCGGGGCTTCCAGGAAGTGGATTGAATGATGCTGAGTATAATTAATCCTAGCAGAATGGCAGTAAAAGGTCAGAGCAAAGGGGTTGATTTACTAAAACTGGAGAGTGCAAAATCTGGTGAAACTCTGCACTGAAACCAATCAGCTTCCAGTTTTTTTTATGTCAAAGCCTACATTGAATAAGCTGAAGTTAGAAGTTGATTGGCTACCAAGGACAGCTGCACCAGATTTTGGACTCTCCAGTTTTAGTAAATCAACCCCAAGGCTCTGTAGGGGACTGTGTTTGGGGAATAGGAAAGCATTGACATGATTGCTACATTTTGGTTT